ATGCGAAAAAATTCAGTGGAGAACGATCACTCAGTATCCAAGCATTATTTCAGATCATGAAAGGTTTCCGTTCACAACTTAAGTCTTCGATGTAGCTTAAAATACCTTGATCTATGGCATTTATACTTTTATAATAAAAATGTTTGTGTTTAATCGCCATTAAGCACTTTCATACACCACCTCAAGAAACACGAAAATCGTATCCATCAATACACCGTCCAACCTTACACGGTTTTGTCAACTTTTGAAATGAACCAGTACGCGAAAATTCGTCGAAACCGCTGGAAAATCAATAAAGTTCGCTAACTTTGAGAGTGACAATTAACAAAGATATGGTTCGGCGAAGACACAAAATCAGTGTACATGTGGGCAAACGTAACTTTCGTCTACCGTAATTCCTCCAGCAGACACGGATAGGCTCCTGCTCCGGACCACCTCGTGTGGAACACCCCAGTGAAATTCAGTAGCGTATTTACTGAGCTATATATTTGCTTGTTTCTCAAAAATATATCTCGAAAGCTGAAAATTAAGTTCTCTTTTTAGCAGTGTCGATGGATTTTTTGGTCTGTTTGAGCCATTTAGATTTAAGGGCCTAAGGGGCCTCGATTTAATTCCGGCAAAGTAAGACAACTAGTTTGGTCGAAATGTGTGTGGAGAAAGTACATTCGACGAGGGATGTTTTCAGTTCAATGATTAGACTGGACAAGAGTAGCTTTTTTACTGATAATAATTATAACAAAAATGCAGAAAAAGTTTATTTCGCGGAATTAACTGGCACAAGACATTTGACCTGTCACAAATCATTGCAAAAGAGATGAATGCTGCCTTCTCTCACCAGCAGAGTCATGGCTAAAACGACTGGTAAGATTTTAAGAGAAGCCACTTCAATCTTGCAGTCTTTGCTTTTGCATAAAAATAAAAGATTAATGGCACTGCAAACTTCTTCGCTTCCTATAAACACAAGTGTTGGAAGGAGAGGGACATTAAGGTGGGGGGAGGAGGGGGGCGCAATACCGCAATACTGTACGAAAAAATAGCAAATACCGAAATCACGGTGTCGAACATCGACGAAATACCGATATCGTAATTATGATCGGTCACGCTTATTTCAATTTGTATCCATCTCTCGTGTTTGTTTATCTAAAGCATGTATGCACCAGCAATCAACCTCAGCGTTTTAAGTCTTAAAAATATTGACTTTCATTAATATTAGACAGGAGGGCGCAAATGAACCGTTACCGCAAAACCGTACCGACTGCCGTTGGCTAAAATGATGAAAAAGGCCGCATATCGAAAGGCTAGATGATCCCACATTAAAATATAATACGCTTCAAAAAAACTTAATTACCAAAATGCCGTAAAACCCCCATGTGTCCAAGCTCTTTAAGGGTTCACTCACCGATCCCTCATCTCTGTAGTTCCAGTAGTGCATAGTGGCCTTCTGGCGGTAGTCATACTTGCAAAACCTCTGATCTGCTGCGTAACTATTAATTATTCTACGAAATGTAACCAAAATTGATTCCAAAAATTGATTCCCTGTCTCACTTTTTTTTCTACGGAAACCCCAATTTTCAATGCAAGGGACTTCTCGGCTTCTTATCTTGAAGTAGACTACTGAATTCGTCTTCTGTGAGCGGAAATAAGTAGCTCAATAAGCCTTTTCTGATTGGCTAGTTTCAGGCACGTTATTTTGCCGGGTCTGAGTGTTTATAAGTTTGTGGGCGTTTCAGCAACCCCCTCCTTTCTTCCGTCAAAAGAGAAAAATATAATCTTTTGTCAGTCGTAACAATACAGTACAATCCTAAGGAGTTCATTCAACCCTACTCATCAGGAAATACTTGAAAGGTTAGATTTTGTTTTTGCTAGAACAATTAGGGATTGGAAATAGTGATTCTGCGATTGAATCTGAAATTTAATTATTTAAGTTGTTACCACAAGAGCGATGGTGTTTATTTTCACTTATGTTTATTTTGAATATTATATATATGATTTATTTACAAGCAAGAAACCCCTATGACAATGCTGTGAGCTCTGACCACATCCACATCTATGCAATGGGAAACGTTATAAGATGTAGAATTCGAAGTAGATGTAGAAGTGCGCGAGGGACTCTCGCGCGCGTTTCGTGCTACGCGTTCCTCCGGCCATTCATTACGTACAATATTTGTTGTTTTGATTAGTTGTAGGAGTGCTAAAAAAAATTGAATTCGTGAATAATAAACAATTTAATGGTAGAAAATTAAGGACAGATTCTTGAGTAAGACCCTGTTTACATGGAGTGGGGGACCCCGGTCTAGTGGGGTAGGTTTCTTGTGTTTTGTGTCCCCCAGAGCGTGAAAACAAAAGAAAACAAACCCACTAGACCGGGGTCCCCTACCCCATGTAAACAGGCCCTTAGTTGACAATGCACTCAGGGAAGCGAGACGTATAGCGTGACCTGCTTGTCAAAAACAATGACGTAGGAGATGAAAGCGTTCTCTGATTGGTAACAGAAATACAT